GTGCATTTAAAAAATGTTACCAAAAAATCATAAAACAATGTCTTATTATTTCTCTCTGAAAAAGATTAACAGGACACGTAGTTAGTTGGTAATGATGTTGAAAAATGCTACGTTACGTACGACTCTGCGCCGTCGGTAAATTAATAGATAATAATTCAAGCAAACTTTGCTCCCCACGGACACGGAAAAATTTTCTCCTTCTTTTGGTGCCATATCTCCTTTTTCCCAAGAACATAATTATTCCTTAGAAGCAATTTAAAAAGAGTACGAAGGAATCTAAGACATCAAGAAAAAAGGAGCACATGTTTGCAAGGGATCTCACAATAGCTTTTAGAACAAAACCAAGTTCAGTAAGTTTCAGAAACTTGGAAACTTGAAGCAGGCTTCGTTCAAATATGAAATGCGAAATACTTTAAAAGCCTTCACTGACTTGAGCTCAAAGCAACTGGGGTCGCATAATGTTGACATCCGCTCTCAATCACTCGTTCTGGAGCTCCCTACACATCGTACAAGACGCTAGCGAGACTCGTCGTGTCTTACTGCTGACCTTTGCAACAACCTGCCACCACTGGTCTTTCTCAGCGTACCTGATGTCTTTATTTTCAACGCGAGCGATCACAAATACTATTCACTTCCTTTATCCCTCTTGATTACCAACGCTTCCATGTCCTCAACGTGGAATTCACATGCAAACTTCCACAGCATACTCACCTAGGCCTCCTGGAGTTACCTGCACAGCGCACAACACGCTGCCGAGTTTCGTCGGTCTTTAGCCGCACAGCCCGCCTTTTGAATAACCTACCGACAGGCGTCTTTCTCATCGTGTCTGATGTCTCCATCTCCAACTGGAGCGTTCGCAATCGCTATTCACTTCCTTAAACCCTCTCTTCCTATACAACCTTTTTCTGCTCACGACCGTAACCGCACGTATATGGAACATTCTCTGAGTGGCAGGTCGTAGAAAGGAAAAAAAATCCATCCTTAGAATAGTTAGCGTGTTAAGGTGAGATTACACTCGAACAATAGTTGAATATTAAGGTTACTTGCTATTTGAATATGTCTCGTAACAATTGGTTTTTTTTAGGTTAACAAAGTTACGCTATTTACAATTAATTTGTTTTACAACATTGAGGTTAGATGCGAGCTTAGAACATCTCTACGCGATCTTGAAACATTTCACAATAATTGCTTTGCCAATTTTCTCATCTGATGCGGGAATGTCCCTAAAAAATTAGTTTCAAAATTTTAAGGTTAGTTACGATATCAAACTGCCTCAAAAGAGCTACGAGCAGTTCACCATATCCGAGTCGACGGTCATTCCCGATAATATCGTTTTGTGAGTTTGTGTCGAAAAGCACTCCTGTCGAAACATAAGCTACGGAACATTTGCGATATCTCTAGTTTGTGAATGCCAATGTATAAGCGAATAAATGCGAATAAATGCAAAAAAAGAGAAAAGTAAAACAATCAAATAAGCAAATATGAAAAAGCAAAGATAATTTTTATTTGAACTGATGTTTATTTTCTCTTTCATTATAACAATTAAACAGCACACGATTGCACACTTCTTGGCACAATTTCAACGATATGCTTTAGTAATAGATTGTATTTATCCTTCAATATTTCTTAAAAACTGTTTCCTTACTTTCTTTCCCATAGCACCACCAGAAGAGAAATAATTATTTGTTTGCCTTTCCCAACATTTACGAATCTTCGTCATTAATGAGATCAGATTGTCTTTATATATGCGTAATTATATCAAATGTGTGCACTTTGTGACAATATGTTACTTTCTTACATTCTGAGCCACCACCTTACGTATATGGGATACATTAAGTTGGTGCAAACGTGTGCAGCATCGAGCAGGACTTGGAATAGTTTCACGTTTCATTGTACCGAACAGAGTCATTTTCGTTCGAATCGATGTAAGCTTGTCTGTCCCTTCGTCCGCCGTGTTTTCTTGCATTCTATATCAATCTAAGCTTGTCTGTCCGCTCGTGCATCATGTTTTCTTGTGTTCCATATATGGGCTGCAAAATTTCGGCTTATGTTGATGAAATTTGATATACCGAAATGTTCTGGTCAAAGAACAAGGAAAGCTCTTGATAATGGTACGAGTCGAATCACTTTTTCGATCACTTCACCTATAACACCTTATTTTCGAAATTATTATGTGCATAACTGTATCAAGCAAATGCGTCTAGCGTGTTTAACACTGATCTATAATGTTTTTAATTGTCTTCTTTTTGAATATCTTACTCCTCGATAGTAATTTTATGATCGAGAATTTTTTCACTGGATGGTAACAAATATGCATACAATTCCCCCAGGAAGGTAAAAATTTGCGATCGAGTTTGCTCGCCATCAAGTAGTTCAAAGCTATCGTGGTCTCTTGTTTGCATATATTAAGTGCAATCTAAAGATGATGTGAAAAAATGAGTCAGTGATTCTTAAAGTTAAATAATGTTTAGTTTATAGTTTATTTTAAAGTGTCTCGGAA